TGGAAACTCTGAGTGAAAATTTGTTCCATGCCTCACCCTTAACGTTTAGTGGCTGTTGGTAGCAACCGCTGGCACTCTTTGGCTTCTAATCTGTAACTCTAGTCTCTGCCTCTGACTTCACATGATCTTTTCCTTTGTTTCTGTTCTCTGCTCTTCTAATAGTATCTGTTATTGAATTTAGAATCCACCTAATCCAGGATGAACTCATCTGAAGATTTCTAATTAAATATTAAAGACCTTTCCTCTGAAAAAGGTAATAGTAAGAGGCTCCAGGTGCATTCCCTTTGGGGCACCATTATTCAATCTACTGTGCTAACTATGTTTTAAGGGATGCTGTTCTTGGAATGTTTTCCTCATTGTTTGAGTGCGACTTTTGAGTGATTTGGGGGATAAAGAAGTATCTTTTCTTTGGTTTGAGTTTCTCATTTATGCTTTTGTTAAGTTTAGGCTTTCAGCTTAACCTCATTTAAGTATGTTTCTGTTTCGTCTGCCATTGTATCCCAGCAACCATCTTTTTAAATTTTTTTTTCTACTGGGGATTGAACTCGGTATCTTGCGCTTGCAAAGCAGGCATGGGGCAACCCTCTTTAAAACAGGAAAACAATGACAAACACATACCTGCAATGCTTTGGTTCTCCTATTTTTGGCAACTAAAAATAATTGTCATAATTATGAGCTAAAATTATAGTAACAAGAATGAAAATGGGAAAGAGGAGTTAGAAGCAGGAGAGAGGTGAGTGGTAAAGAGAAGGAGATTTAAAAAAAAAAATAAGCTGTATTATGGATATGTACCCACTCTCCAAGATCCGTGTAAACAACATGTACTGCAAACATTTACTAATAAAAGAAAACAACAAAACAAAGCATGGGTAAGGCAAACAAAGAAAAAAACAACAAATAAAGTTTCTATGAACATAAATGTGCAAATTTTAGTGGGTAAATTTTGATTTATTATTTATATAGTATTTAAAAAAAACTAACACATATTTTACTGTGTATCCAGCAAGACACAAAGATGAATGAAACATAAGCATTGTCCTTAAGGTACTCATTGGCTGGTATAGAGAAGAAAAATAAATAAGGATGTAAATAGCACATAAGAATCATAAAGATTTAAAAATAATGTTAAGACTGGAATCCCCTTGCAATAGCATCAAAGAGATATAATATACTGATAAAGAAATTTAACAACAAAAGTATAAAACTTTTCACAATACTGTTCAAACAAAATAAAAATCTAAATAAGTGGGGAAGCATCATATGTTCATGGATCATTTTTGATAAGCTTTTCAGAAGCATTTTTAAGTAATATTCAGAAGATAATACTCCTCAAATTCACTTTCATGTGCACCATAATTTTCAGCATCTCAGCTGGCTGCTTTGACAAACTGCTCCTGATGTGAAAACCCATTAGACCAATGGAATACAATTAGAGAATGGGGAATGAACCCAGGGATAATCTCTCTGTTTCTCCCTTCCCCTCCCTTTCTCACCTTAGGAATGCTAAGCAAGTACTTTACCACTGAGCTATACCCCAGCCCAACCCAACTCATGTATTTTTGGTTAACTAATATTAATGAGGGTGCCAAATATCCAAGGGAAAGAACAATTAGTTATATGAACATGAAAGTTAACTGAGATAGAAATAAAAATCAGAAACTTTAGAGTTGAAAATTTTAATCAATTAAATAAAAAGTACAATGTAAAGCTTCTACAACAGACCAGACCAAGCAGAAGAAATAATTTCTGAATTTGAGGACAAAATAGCTCAGACAAAAAAAGAAGGAAGCAAAAAATGAAGCAATAAGGAAAGGAAGAAAAAATATGAGGAAAATGCTACATTATTAAGTAAACAAATATTCATCCTATGGAAATCCCAGAAGAATAACAAAAATCATTTAAATCTTATTTAATGAAATACTAGCTGAAAAATTTTCAAGTCTTTCAGTTTAGATATGGACATCCATATCTAACAAATTCAAAGAACTCCAAACATTACTATCGGCAAAGAAATTGTAGACAATAGGTCCAAAGTATAAGACAAAAGGAAGATTCTAAAAACAGGACATGTCAAGTCACATATAGGAGAATCCCCTTTAACCTTAAATCTCTCAAAGAAAACCTTGCAGACTAGAAGACAATGTAATGATATATTCAAAGTCCTAAAAGAAGCACCTACCAAAGAGAAATACTATATCCAAAACTATTCTTCACCGATGAAGGAACAATTAGTCATTTTACGGAAAAGCAGAAACTAGGAAAATTCATCACAACCAGACCAGCCCTATGAGAAAGGCTTAGAGTAATCTTATACTAGAAACTAAAGGGTGGTGACTATGATCAGGATAATGCATGAATGTACAAATATCACTAGCAGAACAGAGAACCAGAGACAGAGACAGAGAAAAGAGGAAGAATCAAACCTTATAATAACAGAAAACTACAGAAACCACAAAGATAAATAATAAGAGAGGAGGAATGGAAAAGAGATTATACAAAATATTAATAACACAAAAAAAGACAGGATGAAGCTTATACCTATTAATAATATCAATAAAAGTAAACACACTAGTAACTCAGTCTAAAGTCACAGATTAGCTGAATGGATTTTTTTTAAAAAAGCAAAACTACTATCTGCTGCCTATAAGAAACCCATTTCATGGGTAAATAAATGTATAGGCTGAAAGTAAGAGGTTAGAAGATATACTATACAAACAAATCAAAACTCAATAGTAGTAGCTAGACTTATAAAACAGATCATTAGACTATAAAATGAGGCAAGGTGATCATATATTGATAAAAGGATCAGTTTAGCAGAAGATATAACAAAGGTAAATATAACCACACCCATTAAATATATAAAGCAAATATCACATCTAAAGGAGAGATAGATCCCAATGAAATAATAGTTGTGGTCTTCAACACACTATTTCATCAATGAACAAATAAGCTAGAAAGAATATCAACAAAGATACATTGTAGTTGAACGATCTATAGAGAAAGTTTACCTAACAGACATTTACAGAACATTTAATACAACAGCAATAAGAGAAGACATTCTTCTCATTAGCCCACGAAGCATTCTTCAGAGTAAATGATGTATTAAATTACAAGTAAAACATCAAAACATTTAAAAAAAATCGAAATCATATCATGTATATTTTCAGATCACAATGGAATAAAACTAGAAATCAAACAATAGAAGAACAATGGAAACTATAAAATAAATAGAAATTGAACAACATGATTTTTAAGCAGCCATTGCATACTTAATGAAAAAGAAATAATTCCTTAAAATCAAATGAAAATATATCAAATTGTGATATACAGCAAAAGTATCCTAAAGAAGGAAGATTAAGGCACACAGAAAAACAAAACAAAACAAAAAAGGAATTCCAACAAACATCCTAAAAATATACCTCAAGGACTTATAAAAACAAGAAAATCAAGAATATCCCAAACCTCAAATCAGAAGGAAAAAACAATAACAAAGATTAAAATAGAAATGAATACAATAAAAATATGAATAAAGATGAAAGAGTTTTGGAAAAGATAAGATTGACAAACTTCTGGTGAGACAAACCAAGAAAAAAAGAAGGGAGACATAAATCAATACAATCATAGATTTAAAGAGACATTACAACTTATAACAGAAATAAAATGAAAGTGAGAAATCACTATGAATGGTTATATGCTTACAAATTGGCAAACACCAAAGCACCCAATTTTGGAATTGGTGGAAAGCATTAGAACTTTATCAGTTCAGGTAAGAACATGAAATGTGTTCTTTGGATGACAGTTTGCCAGCTTCTTACAGAGCTAAACATAGTCTTATGATATAATTCAGCACCAGGCTCCTAGATATTTACTGATAGGAGCTGAATACTAATATCCTCACAATATACGTGCACAAATAATTACAGAAGCCTTTATCATTATCCAAATTGGAAAGAACCAAGATACATCCTTTAATCAGCGAGTAAAGTGTGACATATCCATTGAAGAGACTAGTATTTAGCAGTAGGAAAAATGAGCTACTAAGCCACAAAAATTTATAGAAAATCTTTTGATGTACATGTCTACATGAAATAATCCAATTTTGAAAGGATTACATGATTACAACTACATAACCTTCTAGAAAAGACAAATCTATGGAGATGGTGAACACATCAGTGCCTTCCAGGAATTCAGGGAAGGAAGCATGAATTAGGGGAGCAAAGGGCATTTTTATATCAGTGAAACTATTCTGTGTGACACCGTATTCACGATATTATGTATTTATCAAAACCCACTGACTATTTAACACAAAGAATATCACCTAGTGTTAACTGTGAGCTTTAATGGATGATCATATATTGATACTGGTTCATCAATTGCAACAACTGTACCACACTAATACAAAATTATAATAATGCAGGGAACCATACAGAGAGAGAATAGGTATATGGAAATTTTTTACTTTTTTACTCAAATTTTCCACAAGTCAAAATCTGCTCTAAAATTTAAAAATCTGTGATCAAAAAGTCATCCATAGCAAATAAAAAGTAATTTATAGAAAGTTGTATATCATGCACATATATTAAAATGAATACATGCATATAGATGAATTTGTACACATTCAGATAAAACATCTTTTTACAGCATAATTTTATATGTTATATTCTCTGTTACTTTCTCTTTCATAATGTAGTGCATCCATATAGACTAACATTAGGTAAATGGGAGATAAGAAAGAAAATGCAGGCAGTGATGCCGAATCATGCTTATATAAATTTTAGTTGTAAGGGAAATAGAACTGAGAGGGGAAAATTTAAAAGATATAATGAAGCCAACTATAGAACTTTGCAATATACTCAGTAGTTCACTACATTTTATCCTATAGTTATTTAACCTTTTTTGCAGAAATATAGATGAAAATTTTATTATATAATGCATATCAAAAGTGTATTTCAAATTTTCCCAAACAGTAAAAATGTAAAGAAAACAAAACAACCACATACCAATTCATCGATGCTGATCATTATAACATTCTCATATCCTTTACCTTCTTTGTCTTTAAGATGACAATTAGATGAAGTTACTGGTAACAGAACAAGGATCAAGGGAGGAATTCCAAAGATATACCTAAAAGAAACTAAATTCAACAGTAAGTGAGAATGAGCTAAATGTGATGTCACGTTACATTGATTGTGCTTTTTCAATGGGTTGGACCACTTACTTCTAGTGACTTTTGAAACACATCTCAGTTCTTGGATAGTGTAGAAAGAACCATACATACTTAAATTATATACAGCCAAAGTGGGGCAACATTTTGGAGCTCAGATTTCATTTACTTTTTTTTTAAGTATAGAAATTACCCAGGGAAAGTGTAGGGCAGATGTGATGAAATTAAAGAATGGTACGGAAAGACACTTATGTATGTCAATACCTTAGCCAATATGGATTTTTGTTGAATATACCTATAAGCAAAAGTATCTTCAGGTAAACACATACCCTGAAGTTTAAAAAGTCACATATTTTTGAAATTTTATGATGTATGGCACAGGATTATCTATGCAAAACTTTGAAAGTAGTCCAGTTGAAGGAATATCCAGTTGCTTTCTGGCAGAAGCAATTTGGGGAGTTATCTACATTATGGTTATTTCCCTTCTTTTAAACAGTGGCCCTTAAAGGGTTTTCCCTTCCCAAAGCTCTTACAAAGTTAATTATTTTGGGAGTCCACTTCCTATCTGTACAATGTGCCCAAAGACCCACATTATGTTCAGCTTCTTGCAAGATGCAAATTCACATCCTGTTAATCAATGATTTATGCTCGCTTTTGATAAGGCTTTCCAGCTAGGGGGAACCACCCAATCAGAAGGAATAAGCAACACTCTTTCAAACCCAGGATTTATTATTGTGACAACAGCCTGTAGACTGTTAAGAACACTATAAAATCCCCAATAAAATTGGCATGTTATTATCTATCATATAAAAATTAGTTGTATTTCCCAATAAAGTGTCCCCTTAGTGAACCATTTTATAAATGTAGAAAGTAGGCAAAGTAACAGTTATGAAAACAAACAAATTTACTTCTTTTCTTTATATATGACTGACACTTGATATAGAGAATAAAATTTCTAGTATTGAGACATGAAATCTATTCATTGCTCTGCCAATAAATAGCTATATACCTGGTCGGTCAGCAAGAATTCATTATTCTCAAGATTAATAGTGATTAATCTTAATTGCCTTTAACTTATCATCTACTCTGCACCGTGGACTGTAAGGAGATTCTGGATGCTGACTTCAGTTTGCCATGTCACCAGAATTTGACTAGAAAATGGCCATAGTGTTTTGATAACATGTAATTGCGTTGGTCTTCTGCATGGAAATCATTTTCCTATAATACTATTTGGTTCCCATCTCTTTTTCTATCACTACATTTTCATACAGAAGATCCTCAAACAATAATTACTTTCTAATTAATTATATTTTGACCTCATATTGGATCTGTGTAGATTGCATAAAACACTTTTTTGAAAATATTTTCTCTGTAATTTGTCATATGCACAAAAGTTATACTTCGGGAGGAATAAATAACAAAGAAAATATTATAGTATATATCACTTGAATGAAATTTAAAGAGAATGTAATAAAATAATTAAACATTACTTCAAAAGGAAAATATTTTTATTAACATCCTTAAATTTTATCTCAAAATGAGGTTTTTCTTTCTATAAGCAAAACCTGTCTTCTTCGACCTCAATTGTAAATAAATACTCCTAAAAATCTATCTAAACTTACTAATTCATTAGATGGCATTTTGCCAATCTTTTCTAATGGTGATCTGGTGAAAAATTCAGCCTTTTTGTGTACTACCACTAATTTCTCAGTTTTAAAACAATTTATGTTTCCTTTAGAGAGAGGGAGTTCTTTTGCCTTTACTGTTATTAAGCAAGTTGGCTCCAGATAGACTAGGGCAAAGCAAAGTGTGAGATCTGGAATATGGAAACTTGGGAGCTTTTGTCTTGGTATGCCAGGTAAATTTCACATACTGAATTTTTTAAAATAAAAACTTGTAATATTTCTTTTAGCTTTTTAGTATCTCAGTTATAAGAATCTACTTGTCATCCAAATAGAGAAATTCTTCAGATATGAAATTATCTCAGATACTGTTCTATGTACACACTGAGGGCCAGAGAGAAGCCAAATCTAATAGGCTACCAACTTTCTCATTAATGATGTATGGTTTTGTAATTAAAGTCTTTTCTCCCACATCACACACAGAATATGTGTAACATATTAAGATTGTATGGTTTGGGTGTCAGAATGGGAAAGGAACTCAATTTTTATTTTGTTTGCCTTTGTTTCTTTCTACATTGGCAATCAGCTCTCCCCTTCTCCATGAACTTTTCATTAGGTCACAGAAAAGACAAACCATAATGAACAATGCAAGTCAAGTGTGGGCTTGTGGAATTGTCCTTAAATCTCCTGAAGGGATTGAAACTGGAGAATTGTTTTCAGTAGGGAATTTGGTTAAGCTAGAATGATGGCTGTCTAAAAATTCTTGTTGGTTTTTAATGTAAGCCAAATAATACATTCTATCCTCAGTTGTTTAAGTTATGGGGTAAAAGTGAATGTAAATAAATTGGTTCTACCAAATCCATTATTTTATCAGTCTTTAAGACAAACAAAGGTTTACTAAACATCTATTACTTAGACCTACTTTCACTGGGAATTTAATTCCATGACCACTTTACGAGTTAATTGTCTCTGTGGTATTTACATAATTCAGGTGGAGAATCTGGGACCTAAAGAACATTTTCCCAATACATAATGTGATTAGTAAGAACTAGGGATTCAAATCTGGTTTGGTTAGGTTAGGGATTCTAGAAACTAAGGTACTACCTACTGACCCACACTGCTTCCTATAAAAATAACTGGATTTGTAGTCAAGGGAAATAACTTTTTTTAATTCTCTGCATGAACCAAGGTATTTCCTTGCCAAGCTCTGAAATTGTATCATATGTTCTTATTTCAGAGGAAAAAAAAAACTGTAGTAAGCTACAGTAGATCACATGTCAGGGGCAACACTAGGATAAAACCTCATATGAATGAGTGTCAATATGACCTATAAGTTGGTCCCATGAAATAACCTTTGCCATTTTTTAAAAAATATATAAACACTGCTGTAATGCCATTTGTAATTCTTTATACCTTCTCAGGATTCCTAATCATTTCCAGTTGTCTTCTTTCATAACTATTCCATTTTTTCATCCCTGAAATACGATGAAAATACACAAACTGTGCAGTACAATTGAGGAGCATATAGTGGGTCCTCATCTTTAACACCCCAAAATAATAACACAGAGGGTACAGAGTAACTGTAGCACAATCTTGATGGAGCTTAATCATCTAGTGAAATCTTTTCAAACTAAATTGCAGAACGTCATTCATTATAACAAACAGAAGTTTAGAATTTTAATATTTTGTTTGCCAGTAACAACTTGAAACGCATGACTAATATAGATATACTTCAGGGGATCAAGTCTCAGTGTTAAAAACACACACCGGGCTTTCTATTGGCTTTATCTCTGGGTCAGATGCAGTGCAACCCGGAGGGGATCAGAAAGAAGTAATGCCGAAGAATCAAAGGCTTTGAAAAGAAAACAGGTACATGTTAAATCTGTAATTCTACATTAAACTCCTGGAGGACATCCCTCACAGATCTTCTCCCATAATTTTCTTATCCTCCCACCTTCATTTCGTTTCTGAGCTGGCAACAATCCTGGGCTCTTTAATACCTGCGAGAGAGAGGGGAAATGAGCCTGGATGTGACTGCGCAGCCCGGGAAGAGCGGAACCATCAAAAGGAAGGCCAGAGGGCTGGCTCCCTTCCCGCAGCACCCTCCCCCAGCGGTCCTCTGGCTTGAGGAAGTACTTATTGGAACATTCCGACTTCCCTAAGCAGATCCTTTCCCTTCACATCCCTTTTTCCTCTTTTACTCTTTTTTGCCTTTAGTTAAACGCAAATTGGCCACACCGGTGGATTCAGCTCACACGAATTCCGCCCCTTTCCATTTTCAGTCGTTGTTGTGCGCAAATAAAATATATTCTATCTCATCAGGTACCTAGAATTTTAGACATCTGCCTATTTAACCCTAACTCCATCAAGGAGCCAGCATGTATAAAAACAAAGTCTGGCTTTTCGCAATGCCTGCCCCGGACTTGGGTTCCCAGCAATCATTACAAGATACAGCCCTAGTTGGAAACTCCCAGCCTTGCTGAGGGAGAAAAACGGGGTTTTCCAGAGACCTGTCCCTTTGGGTTTAAAAGCGCGTCCCCAGGGAACTCCGCTTTCAGTTCTCGAGGAAGTTCGGAGCTGCTAGAACTCTTCCACTTGCTGAACCCAGGCTGCCTGTGAGTAACTCTGCGCAGTGAAGAGCCCGGCAAGGGTTGGTTGGGCGTCCTGTTGCTGTGGGGGGAACGAGACTGGCAAGGGACAGACAGACTGCCCGCGATAGCCACTGATTACCTCTGTGACCTGACAGCGGCTGCCACCGCCAAGTAGCGCCAACGTTGCGGCCCTGGGTCTCGGGACAGAAAGCGGGTACCCGGTACTGTTTCTCCGCAGTCTGCCAAAGTCAGCAAGCAGCTCAGGTGCAAATGGCTTGGAGCCACGGTCCTCGGCCCCGGGTAGTGCCCGACCGAGGGAGAGGCTGTGCTCAGAGCAGGTCCAAAGTGCAAGGCCGGGCTATTCCCGGACGTGCTCAGACGCGGGGGCGGGGGGTGGGGGCTCGAGTCCCGGAGTCCCCGGGCGCGCCAGGCGCGCAAAATTGCGCGCCTGGGAGAGGAGCGCTTACCATGGAACATGGTCTGCGGGAGGCGGGCATAGTCATGATGACCGCAACTGCAGCAGGAGCAAGCTCTCGCCACCCATAATCAAGCCCAGAAACCCAGTCTTCCGTGGACTTGCCAGGAGTCGGTGCTGGGCAGGGCAGTCTGGGCAGCTGGTTCCTCTCTCCCACGCGGCGCCTGCCGGTTCATCCATCCCAGGGGCGGCACACATCACGGCCCGGCTCTCCGGTTTTCCTTTTCCATAACTTCCGTAGAATCAGCCGGTAGCGTACTTTCAGTTTCTACTTTGCACTTGATCTGCAGGTTCAGTCTTGGTTTTTATCCCCTGGGTTTCTCCACCGTGCACCTGGACCAGGACCTGAGTGCGGTGCAGATTTTCAAAGTACCTCAGGAGAAACCAAATGGTCTTGTGAATCAGTGCGATTCGGGCTTTTTAAAAGACTTTCCAGATGACTTCTCACCCCTTTGGCAGCTCTGAGCGACTGGGAGCTAAAACCACTAGTTGCTATTATGTCCAGGGAAGCCACAAATGTGCAAGGCAAAAGCTGGGTTCTTGTAAGCGAACGCCACCGAGGAGGCGTCGCCGCTTCTGCCGCGGATGTGGCGGACGTTGCCAAGTCATCTTGTAAAAAAAAAAAGGAAGTGAAGAATGATTAAGAGGTTCACGCCCTATGCCCCTCCAATCTCTAATCAGTTTTTTCCCCCCTCTCTGTCTTCTGAACGTGCACCTGCTCAGGAGGAATCTTAAGGAAATATAATTTTGTGGGTCCACCTAATATGGTAGGTAAGTGCTATCTTTGGACAATCCAAACCTCCAAATTAAGTGGAGGGCATTAACTGTAAAAACTAATTCCCACATGTGTATTTATCTGTCTTGGCTAATAAATCAAATTGCATTTGGAGTATGTGTCACTGAGGAGTTAATTTTTTCCTAGGCCGGAATCAACTACGAATTTCTTACTTTAGTTTGGTTTCTGATATTCTATAGAAACCCTGCTTAGATGAAGGTGGGTAGCAGAAATCAGAACCAGATGATAATGGGCTATAATTTATTCAGCATTTGCCAAATATTGAATGGAAATCCTTCTGTGAGGTAGAACATTTTGTTACCCATGCTTGACTGATGTGGGAACAGAGATTTCCTTAAGTAATTTAACAGAGTTCACTTAGCTAGCAAAATTAGGACAAAATTCTTCTGTATTCTGGCTCCAAAGTCCATGCTTGCAAGCCCTGTGTTATGAGGCCTTGTGGAATGATGCAGCCATATAGAAATCAATGTGAAGAGGTGGATAATGTGGGGTGCTGGAAACCCAGCACAGAGATCTCAGGAAAGGTTCTAGGAGTTTGTGACTTCTAAAGTGATCACTGACCAGGAATGAACTTGAACCTGCTTAAGAATCTTGTGGGTTCGGTCATGATGTAACAAAGAAAAGAGGGAAAAGTAAAGGAGGCAGAACGAGAAAGCAAACGACGATAAATTAGAAAGTGGAGCAAAGTGGTCCAAGCCTGACATTGGGCTCCTGATGGCTCTTTTAGTCTTACTCCCCGTGCCCATTCCATAGGAAAGTTCTGTCCCTACCACCTCCAAAATAGACGCTGCCAGTGACCACAAAGGCTAAAGGATACTGAAGCATTCCCTCTTCCCCATAACCTCTCCATTCTCCCCAGAGCAGCTGGATGTCTGGATGTCACACGTCTCACCCTCAGGCTACCTGTTACCATGTACCAGTTCTTCAAGGCCCTGGGTGATCAGGGTCCTGCCCCATTCCTCACACCTAACTGAACTTCAAGCCACCCCAGCCTTTTCTTAAGCTTACTGGCTCTCAGAATGGTCCAGCACATGGTTGACGTGGTTGAGTGACAATGAGCTAGAGTAATGACATGAAGACTGTGTGGGGAAGAGAACACGTGAAGGCAGAAAGGAAAAAGTAGGAAAGAGGAAAAGAACAAGGAGATCAGGAAGACAGAATGGAGGGAGGAAAAGCCAAGTGTTCCCATTTTCCTGGCACCCAGATGAGGAGGTGGGGAGGCAAGATGAAGCTGGAGTGACTGTTACTGATAAATTTTGTAGCTATACATTATTTGGATGGTTATTTACTTATTTCAAATCCCTGCCAGAGTATGGAGGTATGTAACTGCTCATAGCCTGCATTTTTACCCCTTTCTGTTGTTGAACTTTTCAGGGACAGAACAAAAGTGTATCCATCAACAACTTTCACAAAAGGATATCCTCCTTCCTCTTGTAGGCAAACACTGTACAAGCTAGGGAAATAGAGGCTTATACATAAGCTAGCTTGTGGGGCAGGCAAAAAGGGGAAATTAATTAGAGATATAGGAGAATAGGTATAAATTCCTCACTGGATTTTTGCACCATATATGAAGAATCTCTTTTGAAAATGTTCAGAAAGCATTTAAAATTTTTATGATTATATGAAAATGAGCATATTCTAATTTCCTAAAGAGTGTTCTTTCTATGAGAAAATTAGTATCATTGAGAAAAAGCTCCACTATGAAATATTAAGGTAACTATTGCTATTTAAATGAACTAAATATAATTTTAAGCCATAAGGACAAGGATAAAATATTTTATGCATTTAAAAAATGTTAATAATCTATGATTTTAAAAATTGAGTAGTTACTATTATACTTCGTCAGAATTAATGAATTGTGTAGAAGAACCAATAAAGAGGAAAAATAATATACAATTCATGAATTATAACCAATAAGTATTAAGCGGGAAAGCAACATTCTCAGAATAATTAATAAAGTATAACAGAAACAATTGAAGTGAAATGGTATGTCAACTTAAACAGTAAATTGTTGGAATTAACCAATTATTTTTCAAAATATACAATCTTTAATGAAAATAGTCAATTACTGCTAATCTGAAAATATTTTCTTGATAATTATCTTTACTCAGTTTACCTAATTTAAAAGGCCCATTGTTTATAGTGTGAAATCAGAAGTCTATCTATCATAGTATCTGAGATATTTTCAGAAGATTTATGATATAATTTTTGAAGCAAAATATTAAACTTGCTTCAAACACAGACACACACACACACACACACACACACACGCACGCAAAGGCAATAGCAAGGGTATGTAATTACACAGGGTCCCGTGCTCTGAGGGACCCATGGTTAAATTCTTTTATGTGAGTGTCTTGATAGTCTTAATTATTTTAGATAAATATCTCTTATTTTCCCTCTGCACTTGGACCTCTCAAATTCTATAACTGGCTGTGGACTCACACATGTTAAGTCACACATTACAGATGATAATATGTATATATTTTAGGGAGATTTCAGTCCGGTAGGAAAATAGGTAAGTGCATAATTTCAGCAAAGGGGAATGGTATCAAGACATGGAGAGGAGAGGGAGAGGAAGGGGTTGAAAAAGAGAATTAGATGCATTATGTGCATGGGCCAACTCCCCACAGTGAGCAAAATCATTATGCACTGAAAATATGTACTAATGAAAAATGTAAAACCCTAAATAAAAATCAATTAAACGTAAGGGAGATAATATGATAAAAAATATTATGTACTTTGAAACAATAAAATATATTGCATCTACATGCGAACCCATCAAAATGAAACCTATTTCCCTATGTAAACAATATGCACTAATAAAAAAGATGGGCAACAAAAAAAATATTATGTAAAGGAAGGAATGATATGCCTTGCGTCAGGTATTTAAGGCAATCTAAACATATTTATAGTTTGGATCAAAAAATGGTTAATATATCTGTCCAATGGAAAAAATGTCTACAAGTAACTGATCTGTAATTCTAAATCATAACGGTTTGATTGCCAAGTTTGAACCTGAAATTTAATTTAGAACTTTATCAAATGACTACTGACCATCTATTTATTATGTAGTTATGGCTTTTATCATTGCATTACTGAATAAACAATACATTTCTAAATGTAAGTTGATAATATTGTAACTTTATAATTATAATCAGGAATTATTTGTTCTTCATATTATGTTCAACTTGTGTGGGTCTAGCTTTGTCCAATTTTGCTAGCATCATAAAAGGAATTGGGAATTATATTGTTTTCTAAAACTCTTGTGTTTAAGTATTCAATGATGTATTTATTTCTGGAAAACCATAGTTTTATGAAATGAAATCCAGCAATAGAAGGATATTCTCAGTTTTGAGCATTATAAGACTAAAAATAGCATGGTTTGTTCTGAAGGCTTAATCAACCATATCAGAAGGTCAGAAGCTTTGTTGGAGATATATATGTTAGCAAATCAGTGATGCCCAGTGTCTCAAAAAAGAGTGAAACTACTCAACTTACATACTCAACGAAAGAACACATGCTAGGAGGAACCGTAAGACACAAGCACAGGGTAGATGGGGAAAAGACTGACCAGCAATAAAACAAAAAAATTGTGGCACCAAAGAAAGTTGAAATTCAGAGCCCCCAAAGGCAATAAAGAATAGAATTTCAAAATAGAGTAAGTAATCAGTATTTCAAAAAATCCCAAAGAGGTTGAGCAAGATGAAGATTAGAAACTGTATCCATTTTTTTTGGCAAAGTGGAAACTGTACATGGTCTTCAAGTATTATTAGCCTGGGGAAGGGCATGTGAGGATAAAGAAATAAAGTAAGAGGGACAAAGTTTTAGAGATATTTAATGGAAAAGATTAGGCTCCTGGTTTGAAAAACAAATTAGAAGTTTTGATTTTGAGGAGTACTTGGGCATATTTATATATTAATTGATGAAATTAGGTTCTGTGGAAGTGGAGGAGGATGGAACCAACATACTGAACTGACTTTGTGCCTTTATACGCCTCATTTCTCTTTGGTCTTTAATTTCTTTTTTTACACTGCAAATCGAAACAATCAGAATTCCCTATAACCTGGGCACGGTGGCACATACCTGTAATCCCAGTGCTGAGGAGGCTGAAACAGGAGGATCACTGCAAGTTCCAGGCCACCCTAGGCTATGTAGTTTGTTCAGAGCCAGCCTGAACTACAAGGCGAAACCTTGTCTCCAAAAACCAAAATAGAGATAGATTAATAAATTAATTAATATCAAAAGAATCCCTTATATATCTAGTGCCTAATTGTATGCTCTTTATTGAAATATTCCCAATGATACTTACTTGTATATTGTTGGAATAAATACTGGATGTCTAAAAGAAATGTAATACTACCTAGGATGCCTTTCAGAGGGGGCAGTTGTATCTTATATTCAGTGTACATTATCAGAACCTTTTATATGCTAATGTGCTGATGGATGTATTGTTGGCAGAACATCCTTTCTCTTATATGCTAGAATTGGAGGGATGATGGTTTTAACCACTGCCTTTATAAATTAATTACAGAAGATTTTACCTACAACAATTCTTTTCATGCAGAGTGTTTGAAGAATATGGAAAAATATTTTGCTTAAATTCCTGGATAGATTTCCTTTCTGTGATTCAGTTACCATGTAAAAATATTGATTACTTTTTATGAGCTCTTGGACAGCCGTAACTGTGTCTTACTTACTCTAAAATTCACTGCAGTCCCCAGAATGCCTTTCAAGTTACAAGCTTTATCCAACTATGACCTGTGGAAACATTAGCGTACACAGGTCTTGACTTGCTTTTTTTTAATTAA